ATTGATAAGCATCTCTCATTCACCTACTCATAAAATTCAATTTTCCACCGAACTTCGGTCTTTTTAGAAAATAGCTAAACTACTTAACAGTGCCTTTTGTTAGATAGCCTTTTTGAAGAAAAACTAAAATTTAGACAATTTCTGGTTCATTTTTAAAAGTGAGGAGTGCTGCTTGTACACACAAAGGTCAAGGGTGGATAGGGGAAGTCGCGAGAGGGTGTGATCTTGACTGTCGAAAGAAGATAGTAAATAGGTTAGAAGGGCCAGAAAAATACCCTCGCGATATACTTTGGGTTTCGTTTTACCATCGTATAAGGTTATCTAACAAAAGGCACTGTTAACTAGTTTAGCTAATTTCTGAATTGCTTTAAAACTAAGGAAATCCCTCACAAAACGCGTCAAGATACTGATCTGCGTTGTGATGACGTTGGCATGCATCGTATTTTAATGGAACAAACTGCTGTTTTTTTGAAGATACAATGACGCCATGCTGCGTAAGCCAATGTTTAAACAAAAGAGGAAAAAAGTGTGGAAATGTTTATTGTTGCTTTTGCACATCAATCATCTAGAAATGGAAGCTCATGATATTCCATGACGTGTGATACGTATTTAGATGAGATCATTACTCTGTTGTATGTCACATTGCGATAGCAATAGATCCCATTCCTAAAAAGGTAATCATTATAAGCTTGAAATTATGACACGAAGGTGTTAGAAAATATGAATAGATAGAATAAATTACAACTTTTGATTTCCCTTAAGCTCTATTTTACTTAGAATTTTTTTTGAGGACTAAACATTTTCGACGAATTTTCCTCAATTAGTTTGCTAGAAATCTTTAAAAGACAGTGCAGTTATACTACTTTATCACTATTTCTTAAAGAAAACACAACTTTCGCCTGCATTTTGCTATCAAAGGACTTAGTGATACCGTAATCCTTTAACTATTTTCATTCTAACACTACTTTCTATCTCATGCGACTCACTGTTGTTTTAGACTCGAAGGGATTTGGGAATTGCGACGATGGAGCACCAAGCAGATCTATGATGCTGTCTATAAATTAGTCACTTTAGCTAAAAAACAAAATTTATGACAAATTCATCAAAACCTTGATTATTATCTTGCTTCTTCTTTTCTACAATCGGGAAAAGGTCTTGAACTGAATATCCAGATGTATCTGCCAGAACCGAGAATGGCTTGCTTCCTAGAAGGAACTGATTTGATACAATTTGGACGTTTTTTCCCGAGAAAAAAATTGAAACTCACCACTAGTAGAAGGCTGAGCCTGAAAGGGTGCTGCACGTGGAGGAGGTGGCAGAAGTGGCACTTCAGCGTCCGTGTCTATCAACGTCGGCGGTAGGGGACCGATGGAGATCGAAAAATGAGAGAATAAGAGATTAAAATTTTAAAAATGAAAGTAAATTAGAAATGGAATATAAACTTTTGTAAATACGTCCTCTTAGGGCATTTCTCTGAAAAAAAA